ATAGTAGACATCCCAATAAGCTATGATATATTTTAATTAGTAAAATAAAATTCTAGCAAATCAAAAATGTATATGGTGTAGGACTTCTAGTTGCATTATAGTGCTGTATTTCAAAATCTATAATATTAATATTTATAAAAGTGCTGAATTTTAAAAATTATATTTATAATAATACTGAATTTTATAATAAATTAATAGATTAAAATTTTTTTTTTTAATGTTAAGGTAACTACTTAGGGGTCTGGCACATTTTATTAACCTATAGTTTGAATGTTAGGATAACTACTATGTAAGTATCCCAACTTTATTACATTAATGAAAGTATTACTATCTAATTAACTTAGTGCTATCAAATATTTTCTCAGAAGAGAAATTGCTGTGAAAGTCCTTAGAACTTTAAAACAGATACATATTACCATATAGGAGGTCCTTTATTCTTGTGATAAACCTACTAGAGCAGTTCATGTCTTATATATGTATTATCTAGATTTTTGGTAACTTATATTTAGGCTGTAGCCAAGTACTTGTGGCTTTTTACCTCTGCTACCATTATCTGCTCCTTGTTTCTACAAAGTTCATCCAAACCTCAGCACCAACTTTACAAACTATTAACAGTACTTTGATACCAACTGTTGATACCTCAAACTTCCAATTCAGATAGCCCAGGAGGGACCAGTGGGTGTTCCCTAATATTCTGAATAAATCCTTTTTTCTTTGATTATCTGGCGGCCTAGTTGGTGTAGTGCTTGTTAAATACTTGATCCTCATTTAGTTTGCTTTTGGTGTTCAGTTCTATAGATAATAATCCTTTATGTAGTATCATTAAAGATCTATACTACCTCTCTACTCAAGACTTGTCAAGTGGGTTTTTATATCCCCTGATCTCTTGAATTTATTTGGCTACTTTACCTAAAATTCATGTAACTTATATATCATACTATATTCCACAACCTCCCAATACGAGTTAGTAAGACCAAGATTACAAGTGCTAACCTGATCGATATATCATACAGTCTGCTGTAACACATTTTTGCAAATTTGAATTCATCGCCAGTGGAATTTGAACTCTTGTTCTGCCACTTGGGGTGCAACAACTTACCAATTTCACTAAGTTGTCACACCTCTTAGATAGAAAATTTTAAATTATAAATAATATATATATATATATAAATACTGAATTTTGTAAAATATATAATATAAGTAATGAATTTTAGTAAAATAAAGTGCTGAATTTTCTAAATTTAATGTAAAATTAAAGGTTTTTAAACTAAAATAACTTTTTAATAAAAAGGTTTTTTAAAAAAGCTCTCTATATTCATATTCTTTAGATTTAAAGAATATTAATATAAAAAAATTTTTTAATTTTTTTTAGTTAAAAAGTTATTAAACTTTTAGAGCAAACAATATTTTATAATATGATTAGAGGGTTTTATCAAAAAATTCTGATATCTAAAATCTTATAAACTATAATCTCTATATAACAATTAATATTTAATACATAATTAGTAATTACATTATACATGCCACCAAAATAGGTTTACAAAAAAACCTTATTTCATCTCTATTAGAGCAATTTAAAATTTTTTATATACAAGAGCAAATTTAATTTAGATAATTATATTCTTTATAATTTTATCTCTTCAAAAAAAGTGTTAAAAAATTTCGTCTTTTAAGCAAAATAGGTCAAAAACAATTTCATCTTCAAATTTTAATTTTGTGCTCTAAAACCTAAAATAATTTTATTGGCATATATAAATCATATTAATAATTATTGTCAAATATTAAATTTTTATTTGTCACGTTATATGATATTAATATTATGGCCTGTCAAGATTTTGGGTGTTGGGATTTTTTGGTAAAACTATGACTAGATACCCTGTATCATACCAGAATGTTATAGAAAAACTTTGTATAATTGGCTAATATATATCAATTATTCAGATAATTAATTTATATAGTTTAAAGTACTTTTTTGAATTGTAACATTTCATAATTTTACTTATAAAAAAAATTTTTTTTATAATTAAATTTAAAAGAGTGTTGCTCTTTGCAATACAAAATAATCACAAAATAATTAAAAAAACAGTAGACTTTACTTAGAAGCGAAGTTATTATGTATATTATTATATTTATTTATTTTTTTTTAATATTAAGGTGACCACTTAGAAGTTTGACATGTTTTATTAAACTTTGGTTCTAATGCCAAAGCAACCACATGGGTTACCTCTAACTTTGTTACATTAATGAGAATACAATTAGTCACACATACAACTTTAGTTATTGTCTATTTAAAAGCTCTGCTATATCTATTACTATCTATAATTATCCACTAATTGCTATATCTAAGCTTCACTTGTGAATCCCCTATTTAAACTCTCTAATCAACTTAGTGTCATCTAGATATTCTCTCCAAAGAGGAACTGCCACTAAGGCCCCTTAGGACTACTTTATCCTCATGGTAAACCTACTAGAACGGTCCATATCCTACATATATAAGTTTCTGATTTCGGCTGATGCCGATAACTTATTAATTCGATTCAGCAACTTATCGATTCGAATATCAGTAAATTTTTTAGCTGTCCTCAGAAGGAATTTTATAAGATGTGTAACTAATTTAACTCGATTAATGATCGTTGTAAATTTTAGTCACCGGGTTATCCACCCAACAAACCAGATTATAGTTTCGGGTTACCCGGTTTATTACTACGTATGTATGTACGTAATACGTACTCTGCGGCAGATTGCTTACCAAATAACGAATACATTAGTGCTAACTTTAAACGATTCTGTACAGAAATTATCTAGTTTGCCATAGCATATTATTTTAGTATATTGGACTCTAATCTTTCACTATCTGGATTTTCCAGAATGATCTCAATATGTCACGGGATTGCGACTCAAGGTAAGTTTCTTGCTCAGATTTATTAACACAAAGTTTAATTATTGCGGTTTGCAAAATTATGTGAAATAGTAAATCACTAATTTCTAATTACTGATTTCCGATTTTTTCAACATTTTTTTGACTTTTTAGATTAGACCAAATTTGCGTATCTATTATTTTGTAAGAATTTTATTATTTTTTATAGAAATTAAAGTTGCTTATTCATCATTTGTAATATATTTGCAAAAATAGGAGTTGCGCATTAAAATATCCAATCAAATTTTCACAAATGATAAATGCGCAAATTTTGTCTAGTCTAAAAGTCAAAAGAAATCGGAAATTAGTGATTACTTTTTTTTTTATTGATCTTCAAATTTCACATAATTTTGCAAACTGCAATAAACGATTCTCATCACCGTCGATTAAAATCGATTAGATTTTTGTCGATTATTAGAAAGCTATCGATTATAATCAATTGATATATAGATTTATATCAATTATCGTTATTATAAATTTTGATACGAATCAATTATCAGCACCGCGTTGATTATAATCGCTTGAAGCCAATCGATTATCCCTTACACCGTCTTGCAGGCAAATTTGCCTGGAAATTTCATGATTAATCTGTGATCAAGCTATCAAATTATATTGGAATGTAGCAGTAGATTCGTAGTTAAATTGATGATTTAAGGGATAATCAATTAATTGTTTCAAATTTTCTGATGTTATTAACTTACCCACTACTAAAGTTGTAATCTAACTGAAATTATGAATTCATGCATCTACTACCTAAATCATGAACCCGCCCACCGTTGAAATCATAAAATCATGAACACTAAAGTTAGAATAAACCACCTACCATTGGAATCAGAACTTTCTCAACCTGATAAATCTAACACGCTTACTATGTTTATGTTGTGCTTGAAGTTGTAACTTTAGGTGCCTAAAGTTACACTTGCCTAAATTCACCCACTGATCTATACAAGAACTAATTTTTTTTTTTTTTTTTTTTTTACCTATTGTCTAGACGTAACTTACCTTTGGAATTTATTTTAGTTAAATGCATTAAAACCTTCAATAAAACTTTCGAACTTCAGCAGAATTTTTAGCCTTCGACTTTCGGTAGAATTTTTAACTTTCAGTAGGGCTTTCGTAAGACTTTTGGTGAGACTTTCACTTTCAACACAATGTATTTTGATGTACCAAAAATATTTTTGGAGTCGTTTTAAATTTTCTGTCTTTGAATACAATTCACTGGTGCATGCCTTTTTTTTGCACAATCATTAATTGGTAAATATACGTATCATTTAAAATTTATTCAAATATTTTCTTTCACAGGTAGAACAACAAACCTTTTCACAAGTATTCTTTCAAAAATATTTGGTGTGATATGCAACTTTTCCAAATATTTTCTTTATTATCTCCGTATCTCTTTCACATGTAATATAAAAGGTTGGAAAATATTTAGAAGATATTTAGAAATGTTGCATATCACACCAAGGATTTTTGAAAGAATACTTGTTGAAAAGGTTTATTGTTCTACCCGTGGTTTTTTTGCAATAAGCTTAATTGTTTTATTCATCAAGATTTAGTCAGTAAGCGCAATAAAGTTTAAAACACCTAAACGCGTTACATAAGAAACGCGAGATACGCGTGTTGTTTACAGGCGATGTATATCACTTTAATTGAATATTTATCATCGTCTATTTTACCTATTTTGGTTACTATACATCACTTATAAACAAATGGTAAAAATCGTAAAAAAATTGGTTCACTTCGTGGTCATGATTCTTTGGGGTTTTATTTTTAACCACTCTTGAAATTTTATGAGAAGGACCTTATAATGCTAGAGAATTTATGAACTTAGACCCAGAAATTAAACTAACAACTTTTTTAATTCCGGAAAGCAAATTTCGCTTAAATTTTACTTAAAAATAATTTAGGTGCGTCAGTCATTTGAAGATATCGATATTAAAAATTTTACACACATGATCTCGACTGACTGTTACACTGAAAAAAATTTTACGATTTCCTGCTTTCTAACCCGGGTAATTGTTAACCGTCGTTAAAGCTAAAATCAAAAAATTGAGTATTTAAGTTCCTACATACTTGATTAATTATGTTTTATAAATCAAATATTTTAAAAAGAGTTATTATTAAAAACAGATTTTTTCCTGTTCACAATTCAATACCGAAGCAGGATTTTTACCGTTCTTACCGAATCCTTAGCAGTCAGGATGAACAGTACTCGTTGGCTCACACCACTAAACAATCACCTTATTTAGAATCAGTCCATGAGAAAACCATATCTATATTCTCAAAGTCTCATCAAATGGTGTCTTCGGTACAAGGAGCTTTTTTGAAGTTCCTTATACAGACTAGTAAAGCTACAAAAGTGCTGGAGATTGGAACTTTCACTGGCTATTCTGCATTGTGCATGGCCGAAGGTCTAAAAGGGCGAGGATCAGAAGCAAAAGTGGTCACATTAGAAAAGAACATAGATCATTTTAAAGCAGCAAAAGAGAACATAGAATCTTCAGAACTTGGACACCTGATTGAGCTGAAACTTGGCGATGCAATTGATACGTGAGCGATAATAATATATTTTAATTATCTTCATCACTATAAATAGACGTAATAATGAATGTTCCTAAAAAAAAAAAAACTAGACTCTTAAATTTGGATAATGCGGTGCAATACGACCTGATATTTATTGGTATAGTAGAGTTTTTAAATAATAAATATGTGCACTATATTTGTTAATATATGAGTGTCGCTAAAAGAAAACCCGAAAATTTAAATATAAGTCATATTTAAATTTTCGGATTTTCTTTTAGCGACACTCATATATAGATTAACGATTTATCTAATTCTCTTGTCGGAAATTAGATGCTGATAAGGGCAATTATATCAACTATTATAATACTATTCTTGAACGAAATCTTCTTTCTGATGATGGAATTATCGTCGCTGATAATGGTTTGATTAATTTTTCATTTCGTGTGTGCTATTAAGTGGGAACTGAATTTGAAATTAAATTTAGATATGGATGAAGTCTCATATGTATATGAGTGCGGCTAAGGGAAAACCTCGATCTTGTTTTTTTTGTTAAACTTAGCCATGATCCGAAACATATGTACCACATATGTTTCGGATCACAGCTGAGTTTAACAAAAAAAATAAGATCGAGGTTTTCCATTAGCCGCGCTCATATGTTGTATTCACCAACTTGCCCAATAATGGTGTTATCCGACAATTTATGATCATGATTCGCAGGGAGTTATCGGTTGAGTTTTAATTTGAATAAACATGATTGTATCGTAACATGAAAAAAATAATACATTCATGATCATATAAGTATGTCGGATAATGGTGCTATTATGATCAAGGTCAAAGATATGTTGAGTGCCCGTATGTTTAATTAATGTGGAAACCCATTATTGCGGCACCACTGGTCTCTCACATATGCTAGTCGCCAGTTTCAATTCCGGGTCCGGATTTATTAACTACAGGTGAATGTGGAAGATTACACGTACAATTTTGGTTGGCACCCTCCGTGAAATGCTACTTTCATACCCATAAAAATACTGAATTCGTTCAGATCTTTTTTGCGGAAAACTATTTAGAGCATAGGTTTACATAAATAATTTTAC